CGAAAAGACCATGGCCGAGAAGGGCCTTCCCCCCTTGCAAGCGCTCCGCGTCCCAACATCCGTCCCCAAAAGCTTATCCAAAAGTGCAGGCAAACCTCGGTTGACTTGTCTGAGGAGCTCGCTCCACACGGAAAGGGCAGTGGAGCTACCTGTCAGAGCTGTGTCACCTGCGTCTGCAGTTTTTCAGAAAGGCTTGTAGGGACTGAGTCATCGCTGCAGAGCACAAGGTCGACAAGTGCTTTCTTTCGCAGAATCAGTTCGTCACACGCCTCACCTGCCTGTGGACGAATACATGACGCAAGGGTTGTTGTCAGCAGGAATCGACCCGGTTTTGGCTCACAGCTTTGAGACGCATTGGGAATGCCTTCCAGCCGTCCACGAGGCGGAGGCAGGGCGGAGCCAGGGCCAGGAACATTGAAGAAGAGAGGTGGCAGAGGTTTTGGAACGGTTTTCAAAATAGGCCTCCAACGCAAGAGAACAAGCGCATCAGCACATCTTCATGGATTCATCATGAATCATTCAGGGTTGTTTGACTCTTTCCAGGCAGTGACTGGCCTGCATGGCAGCTTCAGGCCGGTCTTGTGCGGAAGCTCACCTGTCGCAAGCTTTCCTGCCAACCTACTACCTGCTTGTAGTGCCCAGGCTCCACAGTTCCTGGGTCAGCGAGGCTCCGCCCCGTAACTGCTTGCATGCTACGGAACGGGCAGAATCCGTGGCAATTCGCGCAGACCCCGAGCTCAAGTGGTTCCAGCCACAGCACCGTGTTGGCTTCTCAGCCAACTTGTGAGCATTCTGGCAGCTGAAATGCATGGTAGGTGTTCAATGCTCGACCCTGCTTCTGTGTCCGATGGTATGGTCGCCGGAAGTGGAGCCCGATGTCGTGGGAATCGCATCTCGCCGCCGCCCAGAGACCGTGGCAACAAAGATATCGTCCGTCGCACGTGCCGACAGGGCATTTTGTGCATCGCATCTCCCCAAGGTGCGTCGGGCTATGGGCGAACCCTTCGCAGCGTTCTCAGATCGCTGTTGGCAGTCATTGATCCGCGAATCTCCTCTGACAGAGCTGTTTCTACGGGCGTCTTCTTGTTGAAAGGTTGGTTTCAAGGTTCCTGTTACCGTATCATTGTGCATGGACTTGATGGTTGAAGATGTAGCTGCTGTTAGACTTCAGATAACAGCAGGAAGGGCGATTGTCGAAAAGACAAAATTAAAGAAGCGCCTTCTGTAGGCCTGGCGCAGAACGGCTCAGCCCAACCAGTTGCAGCGGGCCCGGATATTGCTTAACGGAGCCAGAGCAATAATACTAGTGACTAGTGGATAGTAGCGGGAAACATCACTCGAATATTGGTTCCTGACTTAGAGCAATTAGATTGGAGCTGATCGTGACTCGCCTGTTCAGAGTAAGAGCAAGAAGTGGCGAGACTAGTAATTTGCAATGATATCACCGATGCCACCAGAGGTATCCCTGATATGGGTCAGAGCCATAGTGGCACCAATGCTACTTGGAGCATATGACTCAACGACAATGCTAGGGATAATAATGACGAGGTGATGAACGGCAGAACAGCGGATCATGGCAAGCTCGGAGACCACCGTAGACAACCATAGGACAGCTGACTTGACTGTCAAGTCCTATCAGACCGCAAGTATCGCAATACTTCTGGTAGGAAAATTCAGAACTATGCAGTCGTCACAACTTGAACTGCCAGTACGTGCCAGTACGCACCCCAGCAAGCCTTTCCACGTTTCTGCTCGCGTTGTGAAATCCAAATCCGGACACAGGGGATTTTACCACGCATGGGTTGCCCTGCTTTTCTGTGCCGCTATGCCAGCTTGCTACAACCATAATTCCATAATTTAGTGCTGATATCGACAAGCTCTTCGAATATGAGTGTGGCTTGCCGGTCCGCCCGGCCAAGGTCGGTTCGGTCGCACTAGAGGCAAGCATGCTTCTGGATCACAAGACGCTTTGTTGAAATGACGTTTGCGCAGCATGGGGTCTTCCAGCGGCGCAACAATGAAATACAGCTGCTGCCGCTTCGGTGATCTAGGTACTCTGGTACCCTTGCATGAACGTGTGGATGCCAGGGATCCCAAGCTCCAGTGGTCCGCACCTCTGCAGGGCCGAGGAGGAGGCGGGTCATGCCACGGCCTGCCGTCTACGAGTCAAGACAGCAAGGGTACTTCGGCTTTTGGATTCCTCATGTTACTCCACATGTTGAGAAACGGCTTCGCCCAAATTGCGTTGAGGTGGAGTCCCATCAGGTGATAGCCTTCCGACTTCCCAGCGACATAGGGCTGGACCAGACGTGCCTTAGTTGGGGCTGCACCTCCCTGCATCTGAGAGCCCGATGTAATCAGACGAACCCATGCTCTCCTCCTAGCAGTTCCCTGGTTTGGCCGTTTCCTTTGCAGCCATCTCGGCTCCGATGCGAACCGGGCCCTGTCTGCGCAGTCCAGCCGGGCTCGGCGCTGTCCTCTCCAAGAGCTCCTGGACAAATCTGGTCCAGCTCGCTGTGAGTTTGTAGGCAACTGTTGTGGGAAGACGGCACAATGCTACTAGTAGCACCGAATATCACTTTATCTTCTGCTCGGACATGCAAAGAAGCAGTGCAGGGTTGTTTGATCCTGCTGCTGCGTTTTTGTTACTTGCAGTAAACCTGTGCCGAAACTGATAAGGAGGCAGCCAGCCTTTGCCCTTCATATTCCCCACATCAGACGAAGTTCCACGAGAAGGCAGGGGACTTGTTGCGGTCCTGCCTGAAAGGCACAGGAAACCGACGATCCCAAATCCATGTTTCTTGTCGAGGCGCCGGTTAGCTGAGATCCAATGCGCAGCTTGGCAGCAACAGTAGTTGGTGGTCCCGCAGCATCATAGTAAGTAGAACCTCGGACAGTAGCCTGGAAGCAGTGCAATACTGTATGAGACCTGCCAGCACGCATACATCCTTTTCACGTAGCTTTGGTGGCTACCTGCCTGCCGCAGCCTTCTTGTCGGCAAAGATTGAAATTGAATTCCAGAATTTCTCGACACAAGGCTGTGGCCCGTGGCTCTGGGCGTCGATCCGAGACTAATGCACCGATAGGCTACGGCTTACCACAGCAAAGGCGACGATGTAACTGCAAAGGTGAAACTATGTCGTTTAGGTCACACTCGGCATTTTGATCGACGGCTGCCGGCCGTGGCCTGCTGCAATCGACGATGAAAGATAGGACTGGCATGCGACGCTGCCGGTCAGCAATCCCCTGTGCAGCGTTGGCATGGGTACTGTGCTTCTCATGCTTCATGGTGCTGTCGCCGACAAGCTTCATCGCTCCACAAAAAAGCCGCTCTGCACTGGAACCAAGTGCTGGGCTGGCAGCTGCAGCCGCAGGGGCTGCTTTTGAAGCTGGCACGAGTCCAGCTATGGCTCAGCAAGAGACATTTGCTCTTCTTGGCAAGAGCTCGGCTGACCTGTTCCCGCTTTCGAACTTGAGCATCTTGACTTGGCTCTTGTTGATCGTCGCCCCAGGTTGGGAGTACACGAAATCAGCTGCACTTGTCGCTCCCGTCATTAACGCCGTGATGTACGTGATCGTTGTCACATTCTTGATTACACATCCACCTCCAGATGCACCAGCAGTGGACTTCGGCAGTCTGAGCTTCATTGTCACCGCTTTCCAAAATCCCGACGGTGTCTTTGCTGGTTGGTTGCACTACTGCGTCTTTGATCCCTTGGTGGGGCTCGGCGAGGTGCTCGACAGCCAACAGAACAAAGTGCCACACGCCTTGGTCGCACCATGCCTGAAACAGCGAACAGCAGCGCCGAGCAGCCCAGGAGCCCAGAGCCTTAAAAGTTTCCTCCCGCCCTGACCGCCACCCCAAGTTGACTGCTTCGCAAGGTACCCTGCCTCATCCTGACTCTGCTGTTTGGGCCGATGGGTTTTCTGCTCTATTTGGCCGTCCGAACTGTCACTCTGGCTTCGCGCCCTGCAGCCAGCGAAGCATGAGAAACTCTCGCCTGGTGGTCTGAGAGGCGCATCGCTAGGCTGACAGCACCTCCACATTGGGGTTCTATGAATGCCGACAGCAGTCTTGCTGCAAAAGCCTCACGGTCAGGGCACGGTTTGAGGATTTCAGCAGGCGGGAGCAAGATCCGCCAACATGACGTACAAGCCAAGGTCTGAATGGTCTGCTTGTCATCATCGCAGTCGTCACATGCTTCGCACCTCTCCGTGCCCCAAGCAGAGTTTTCCCGTGTCGGTGTTGCAGCTCAACAGTTGGCTTTAGTATGGTACTGATGGCAGGTGCGCACATTGCGCGCGAAAATCCTGGCAGACGAGGCGGCTGCAGGGTCTGCAATTTCATCGGAGAGCTTTTGGTTGGCCGTGCAGGACGAAGCCAGTACATTCCAAGACACTTGACCTAAACGATTTTTCGACCTCCCTTCTCCCTGTGCTGGCAGCCAAAACTTAACGGCTGGTAAGATGAAGCAAGAGTAGCACGGAGGCCGCCTAAATGTAGCGTTGACGATTGCAGGTGTCCAACCTGAGCAACACCACCTATCACCGGAGGCAAAGTCAGTGCTAAGAAAGTTAAAACATGACTGCGTAGACTCGAATTGAGACATGGTGCCGTCAGCTCATGAACTGTGCCTGTGCCATTTCCTTTGCCACCAGAAGCTTCCATGAAAAACCGTGATAACGTGAATTAAGCTTTGCTTGAACGTGCTTCTGCCATCGAGGTGAAGGTTTCCCTCTCTGCATCCGGGACAGTGACAAGAGAGGAGTGCAAACCTGGGGAGAGCTCTCTGTTTTTTCTTGCGTGCACCACGGTTGTGTCGTCCTCGCGCACGCTGATGAAGTGCCCGGGTGGGGCAGAAAGAGCAGGAGGAGATTTTCATTGAACAGCGGCAGCAGCAGCAGCGGCAAAGCTACTGTTGATCATCGTATCGTTTTCGTGGTTGTCGTCGATGCAGCAGCAGACTGCAGCAACAGCAGCTGGAGGACCATGCGCAGTTACTGCAACAGTGGTACTGTACTCCCAGACACGAATGAGAATAAGCGACAACAAGTATAATGTGAATATAGAGTGGATTTGAGTGGGTGAGATAGGTGGCTGGTAAGCAAGCTGAGTTGAAAGTTGAAATAACATGAATTGGCAACCGAACGATGAGGAGCAGCGGCAACAAGTTTGGTATCGTCTTTCTTTGTGATCGGTTCTCCACGCACAGGAATTCAGCGGAGCACGAAGCAGCTTGATGCGGCGAGACTTGAATTATGATGACACAGTTCAGGCAGGGGAGCCCTTTATCTGCGTTCAATGGTGTCGGTGAGCGGGCACCAGAGCATGTAGCATGGAGAAGCTGCTGCAGCAGGATGAGGACGCTGGAGCTGCTGCGGGTGATCCAGATTCCGATGCAGAGTCAGACGAGGTTGCCGGAACGGAGGGGTGAAATTTGATGAAGCCCAGTCGATCTTGCCAAATTGCAGGCCGAAGACAACGATGATGCCAAGGCATCGATTGCTCGGAAAGGGGTTGGAAAACTGGCGATGTCTCGCCAAGGGTCTCTCTTGTTTTCTGACATGGGTCATGACAACAGCAATTGTTGGCAATCTTGGGGTTTCGACTAGAGTCTCTTTCTCGCAGGAACCAGCCGCTTGCGACAGTGGCGGTGAAACCACATATCGCAGTTGGGACCCCAGGTGCGGCGACAGCCTGTGAGTCAGAGGCTTTTTGGTAAGAGTTCTTTGTATTATTTAAATAATTAAAATAATTAATATAATAGAAATAATTAAAATGAGCTTGATTTCTTTTTCTGTCGTGCCAGAGCCGCGGAGACCGGCCGAAGTCTGCGACTCGAGTTCCGCCGAGGCCCTCGCAGCTTCCAGGTCGAAGCCCCAACTCAGGACTCGGCCTCAGATCAAACACAACAGGGGTTGCTGTAAGGGTTACTATAGTGAATGCTCTTAAGGTTACTATAATTAGTTATTTTTAGGGCTGCCGAAACGGCTGCTATAATGAATACTGTAAGGGTTAAATATTAGGCTTACTGTTACTATGTTACTATAAGGGTCACTGTTGTTATACGACAAGACAAGGCCCAGTATGAGCCCATACGAGGTGGGTGCTGGAAATCAGTGTATTTCGGAGCACTTGTTCACCGACAAAGTACAGAGCTTCTCAACCTCAACGGCAGTAAGTGCAGCAAATAAAGCAAAAGCGCGGGTCCCAAACGGGGTCTCAAGAAGGCAGATGCGCTGGTTCAACAGAACAAAACCGTGTGTCCGAAAACCATCCAACCAACAAAACACCAGGATTTCTGAATGCTAGTTGTTTCGGAATTGGACTAGTGGTTTTATGGTTTAGGGCTTGTGTGTCCAAGTGTTGCATGTCTTGTTGGTATTTCTTCGGGAGGCTGCCAAAATCATACTGTCCCTGCAGGGTTCCAGGTTTGTTCGCAAGGGTTTTCATGGAAATGCCGCCGTCTGTTGTTACCGTGCTTGTGTCCAAGATGGGACAGACAAACGTGGCTGGGACATCGACTAGGCTTGCCATCTTTGCTGAACTGTGTTGCTTGTAGTTTGCACTTTGGCCGTTCTCGTTTGTTGTTGTACTATTTGCTTTCGGTTTGGTTAGATACTTCTCCTGACACTTAGCCTGCAAGGGTTGCCGCAAGACTCGTGCATCACACGTGGAGGCACTGCAGCAGACCTTTCTGAACAGGTTCCTTTCACGCTGTCCCTGCGCATGCGGTGGACTGGGGACAATCCGCCGGACCTGACGCCAAATCCAGTTGCTCTTCAGCATCGAGGTGCCTCATTTGTTGTGGCCATTGCTTGCTGGAGGAACTTTGCATTGCAGAAGGCCTTGAAGCCTGTGTTTCGCAATTCACGCTGCCAAGTGAAGATCCAAGGCTTGTGTTATCTGCTGGACGATTGATCCGGACTGCGGCGGGCTGTCATTGATTCCTAGATGTGAAGCATTCAGCCACAGACAGGGCTAAGGAGATTTTCAGTCTACGGCTCGATACCGACACGTGTGCCATATCCGGTCGGTTTCCGACTCTGGCATTCCGTGCCAGCAACTCCCCGGTCAGAAGATCGCATGGGCAGGCAACTGGATGTTATCCTTCGCGTCAGCGATTCTATCACAAGACTCCGACACAAGGGCAGACGCTGGGCTAGGCTACTGACTGACTACCAAGAGGCGCGCAGCAACAAGAGCCAAACGCAACGTAAGGCCAGTTGCGCGCCACTAGTCCAGCTCTGTACCTTCGAGACAGGTAGGCTTTTCTGCATTGGGCAACGTGGTGGCTGAATGTCTCATGGAGCCTGATGGAGCAAAGCTGGCTTTGATTAAACGGTGTCCCACTACGGCCATCACGGAAACTTGCTTGATTGTGCGAGGACACTGCGCCAAGTACCAACAAAGAGCAGCATCTTGGCCTTGGTTCCGGCATGTTCGCCGCTGCAGAGCCGGATGTGGCACGACATGACATGCGCTGTGTGAGAGAGAGAGAGAGAGAGCGTGTGTGTCGCCCGTACACATGCGAGCATGCTGCACAGGACATGAAACCTACGTTCACAAAATAAATCTGCAGGTTCTCTGATTTGACGCTCTGACTAGACGGTGTGACAGGTTCTATCAAGGCTTGGATGGCCAGCCACCACGAATTGTCGCTTGGCAGCTGAGAATTCGGTTCCCGAAGCGTGTCTGACCAAGAGTCTTGACCTCGATGTGCGAGGCGCTCATGCGCATGGGGAACGTGCTCAACTACGCCACTTGTCTTCAATCCAGCTAATGCATGCCGAAGGATAACAAAATGCGACATGACAAGCATCATTCCGACTTCTGACGGATGTCGGAAAGCCTGATGCCATGCTCAGGAAGAGTACGGAGCCGATGGAGGTACCGGCACCGTCAACCTTTTCACCTCAGCGTCTTGTCCGTAACGACTTTAAGCATCGATGCTCGAACCATCCGCTGGGCTCCAGCCCTTGCTTTTAACGATGAACGATGCAATCGAATGTCGCTTGTTTGCCCAGCAAAGGGCAAGCAGCTCAACGACGGAGAGTACCACGAGGCCCGGAAGTGTTTGAACTTGTTCGAAGGCATGCAGAGTCACTGCGGCAGACTGAAGTGAATTCTTTGGTACTGAGAGGTCAGGTGCTGTCGACCATGTCTTCAAGTACCAAGAACTTCATGCATCACCAACCACTTCAGGTCGTCGTTGTTCGCGGGGAGTCGCGAATTACATTATGGACACCTGTCTGCAACCAGGATTCCATGCAACTGCCGTGTCATCTTTACAGTCACATGATCGTGGACACCGTTCAGGATTGATGGGCAGCCTGATTCCTTCATTAGCAGACAAGCAAAAGGTGCGGGGCTCACCATCTGTCAACTTCATGGCCAGGCGGAGCCTAACAGTCCAGGTATGAAATGATTAGATGATCTTGTTTCGAAGCCCCGACCACCGTGGGCTTTTTGTTTCCAGGCAACAACTTCCAAAATGCGGATCTGCCGGTGGGTGGCTGGGCAGCTACATGCAATTCCTCGTGCCAAAAGCAGCTTTTAGTGCAGCCAAGGCAAGCCAAATGCCATTACTGGCAAGGCCTCAACATCGAATGAGTACTTGCGGAAGTGCCCTTCAAGCATCGAGCTCGCTTTCCATGGACTTTTCTCATCTGCTGGAGCAGAAAAAGGTGCACTTGCACCTGTTTTGAGACGAGTGTCCTCTGAGGCAAGTGAAGAACACAGCCTCCTACAACAAGGCGCGGCTGGGCTGGGCCCATTTTCCCGGTGTATCATGGATCCGAAGCACAGTCAGGTGGACCCGAACAATGGCAAGTGGGCCTTGAAGGGGGAGGCCGGTTCCAGACCGCCTCCTTCACACACTTTTACCATATATATATATATATGTATTTATATATTTGTTTATTTAATCATTATTTTATTAGTATTCTTTTTCTTATAAAATGTATATACATAAATATATATATATATGCAGGCACATACATACATACATATTATATATATATATGTATGTATGTATGTATGTATGTATGTATGTATGTATGTATGTATGTGTATATATATATATGTATATATGTTATGTGTATATATATATATATATATTATGGCCTCAGTCGCACATTCGTATTAGGTCTCTTGCTCATGGTCCCACCTCCGTCGTTGGCCGCACAGTCTTTGCTACACATGCAATTCCCCAAGTGATTCATGCACCAATGAAGAAATGGCTTGATAGACACTTTGCGATATGTTTCACGGGACGCCGACACCCGTGCCCGGCCCGGCACCCCTGCCGGGAATAACTTCACCATCAGCCACCTCTTCTCATCATAACAGCAAGAGGTCATGTGCCGAAGATCCGCTGATCCTGCTCGGAAGGTGACCAATGTGAGGCTGTACTACACTGCCGCTGCCTTTGCTTTACTTGATGTGTTGACGTGCATGGGGTGATAAGGGCGAAGAGCATAAACAGAGGTTTGCTAGGCGGCATACCTCGCCCGCTGATCTCACACAGCCCCCTAATTATTGCGAGGTTTTCTAAAGTGTTTGCAAAGCTCGCCTCAAATGAGAAGACAAACCGCCCCAAGTGTGACTGCCTCTTTGCTTCTACCTTTCATCACAAAAGCTGTCACGATTCTTGCAGTGCTGTAGTGTCGGTACAGTGCAGCAGCTTCGAGGAATTGAGCGCCAACGACTTCCCCAACAGCAAGACATCTTGCGAGGCCTCAAGCAAGCGATGTAATCCACACTGTTCGAAGGGTCAATCCACGGCTGCGTGCTCTGCCGCCGTCAAGTCAATCAGACCATACTGCAAGTGCTGGCGCAGGCCACCACCACGCAAGCCAGGCCCTCAGCTCGAGAAAAAGGGTGCATGCACTGCAGGGCTGCAAGCTCTGACAGCTTGTGCTCAGCTTGTGCTTGATGAGCTCGCAATCGCAGTTGGGCTCAGAGGGGTTTTCACCGGCCCTCGGCCTCACCGGAGGGCCTGGGTCCTCGAGGCGAGATGCCCGAGTCAGAGAGGCGTTCTCGCTTCTGAGCCTTCGTCGCGAGGCGCCCTCGCTGGGGCCATGCAGCGCTCGGAGTCCGCCCCTGGAGGTGCCACGTCTCGGTCCATAGTCCTTTGTCCTGAAGCATTCCGGAGGCGTCGAGAGCTTCCTGTCCGGACGACCTGCAGCAGCCGCAGCCTCTTGATTCGGAATGATGTGGAGATGTCTCTGGAAAGCACAGCCAGTCCGTAGAGAAAGCAATGTTTTGGTGGTAAGGACACCGAGTACCTCAGCAAGCTCTTGCCATATGTGGGAGCTCCACATCATTCGCGGCTGATGAGCATGCATCCGCTCAGCGAAATCAGGACATCATCTTCCCTGATTCGTATCAGTTGGGCTCCTGACTACCGCTTGTCTCATAGAACAGCATCCATGCCGTAGCCACAGCCGTGTGCCCGTCAAGTTGCGGCCAGAGAGTCCCCAGTAGCGGTCCGGCCGAACCGACTCTGCCTGTTACTTCACCATGTGCTTTCTCGAGTTCAGTTTGCTTCGGGCAGGAATGGTTGCCAAATGGAGGGAGTCAGCATGAAGGAGGCTGCTGGGACTGAATGGTACGAAATGCAGTCGCATTGCCTGTTTAAAATAAGTTGTCAGCTCAAAATCTCAGTGCGGCGCCAGACTCACATTTTCACGCAAAGATTCCTAATGCCACGCTGTTGCTGCATGCGAAAGTTCCTGAAAGCCTGCCGAACCAACATCAGAAAGAGGAAAAGCTCAACTTCATGGTACTGGGATGTACTGGGTAGGATGTTTTTTGTCCTATATGGCTTCCATCACTTCGGTCTACGACGAAAACACACTCCAGAAAAATTCGCGCTTTGTTTAGGGATGTACGAGGTAGCTTGCTTGGCCCATGACTGAGGTATGGAAGCGGCGGAAGCTCGGCAGCTCGGCTTGCAGCGACTATTTCACCCGAATTTTGTAAAAAGGTAAACATCAGAATAACAATATAGCAATCATAATAGCAATAAGAACAATAATGGATCTAATTAACAAGGCTGACTAACATAGCATTACGAGTAACTAGTACGTAATAAATGAAGCAATACTGTTAATAGTCACGCATAATAGTAATAGTCGTAGCAAGAAGAAAAAGAATCATATTTTGTCCGGCGGAGTGTCAGCTGGTAAGTGTGTCATGAAACACAATTTGCTCAAAAAACTCCTCTTGTGCAGGCAACTTCGTGCTGCAGAACTCGACGTCAGAATCGTACCAGTCACACTGTGAGGCGGGAAGAGGATGCAGATGCCTGGTTCTTGGAGGGTCGGGGGACTTAGTAAGTAGGTAATAAGTAGACTTATAAGTAAGGGACTCTAATTGGGGTTATGATACTTATAAATCTATAAAATAACTACTTACTAAGTCCCCCGACCCTCTAAGTTGGCACTCTCAGCAGCTCAGCAAATCCGGGGCATCCCTTGGATCCCTGTATTGTTCTTAGACTCGGGTTCCTTGACGTGCAGGCAGCAGGGCCCACCGCAGCGGAGCCTTGGCACGACAAAAAAGTGCAGTCCACTTTTTGCATCACCTGCATAGTTATGTACTTCCGTAGTGGTGTTGTTGTGGCATCGCCTCATCTCTCTCCAGATATGCGCCAGTTTGAGCCGCAATCGAGGAGTTCACCTCCAATGACACCATCAACAGAGTGCGACGGAAGCATACGCGCTCCGGGCTTGCACCATGTGACAAGTACAAATGGATGAAGGCCGGGGAAGCCATAGCAATCCCTTTGAGCAGGTATTGCAGCACAGCCCAGTCATGAGACCTCTTGACCGTCTACTGTAGGTGGCCTCCACATCCATTGGCTGGCATGCGGAGACTGATCACGGCCGCTCTTTGTTGAGACATCCAGTGCATCTCGGTTGAGGACGTTGAACCGTGAAGGTCCTGCCTAAGATCATGCAATCCAGACTTGCCGATCTGAGGCACGGCATTGCCGAGTCCACCGTCACCAAGACATATAGCAACATGAAGGCACGGTTCGGATTTTCTAGCGTAGGCAGCTTTGTATCAGCACCCAAGCCCCTGATTGTCTTCATGACCGGCTCGAGGAAAGATCTATGGGACTTAGGTGATTAGCCTTCGCGGAAGCTGTGGCCATAGATCAAGAAGGGTTGGCCATGAGAGGCAATGGCACTGCATTCACGAGCCACGTGCTGACCTTCATGGTTGAGGCCGCGCCCCCTGCCCCTACTGTCGAGCCGATGGACTTTCGAGCGGATCGGCTCTTCTATCTCTGCGACTTGGTCAGCTTGGTCCAGGTCTCGCACGTAACTCCGACTGCGATGGCCCAAGCACGCGGAGTGATGCGTCGCCTCGCAGAGGATGCGAGGAACGCCTTGACTATTGGTTTGCCGCGAGACTTAGAGATACCGAGATTCCATGCTTTCCCATTTCAGCTGGTGTGCGAACGTGATACCTTCGCCTTCAAAAGGATGTCTACACTCCTGGAGCTGGGGAAGGCCATGTGCTTGGCTGCAGGTTGGGCGTCCAAGGCTCAAAGAGCCGCAGAGTTCCTGCAAGGCCTTTTTCGACAGGAGCTGCAAGCTCGTGCGGGCCAGAGAGGCCATGTTCATGGTTGAGATCGGAGCAGAACAAGACGACTTCGAAGACCCCGACGCTGCACAAAAGGAGATGCTCCTTGAGATCGAAGACTACTGTTTCGATCATGGCGTCTTGGATCCCTATCTTCCCCTGCGCGCAGAGTTGCAGCAGTTCCTTCAAGCGGATCAGCAGCCAGGCCGACTTCGAAGATTTGTTACAGCAGCAGCTGCCGGACTTCGGGCCTTCGGGCGGAAGCAGAAGCTATCTCCAGAAGGCAAGCAGGCGCTACGCTTCTACACAGAGCTGCGGTTTCTTGAGTAGCTTGAATCGATGTTGGGGAGCTCGCAATCCGAGCTTTGGGGAAAAAGAGCGCGCAAAAAGGAGTGCTGCTGGGCTGGGAATGCCGAATGCTGCCGTGAAGTGACACGGCCCAGACCATTCGTCCGTTTTGCCTTCTTGTCGACGATCGAACGAAATGTCAACTAGAAGCTTTGGTGCTGGGAGCCATATCGCCAGGAGAAACACGATCATGCAACTTGCCCCAAGTGAGTCTTCATTGCCTTTCTTGCAGGCCACAAACATGGAGGCCTGCCTCCGCTTGTGCAAGTGATCGGAGCTTGCTGCTGGACCTGCATGAGTGTATGAATGGCGGTGTAGACTCACTGATCAGCAGCTTTTTTAGTCATCATACGGTTTCACGTTTAAGTGAAAAGGAACCTCACGAATGGTAGCTATCCTACTTACAGGCCGTGTTATCAATACTCTCGAAGCCTCAAGCACAGAGCTTCGGCTTTTCGATGGCGAGCTTGGGCTCCTGCCAAAGACATTGCCCAAGCAGGTGCCTCTTTTCATAGACGTCTCGCGAGGCGCAGCCGCATTGTAGTCATTTCAGGCCCCAAGCATCGAGGTATTTACCAGGCTACAGCACTGGATCGGCTTCTACTAGAAAGGATTCTTCCAGGAGAAGTAAAACGGTGTGCACGGAGCTAGGCAAGTCGGAGCCGATGTAGTGCCTGTCTGTGTCGATCGAAGATCACACGGCGATGGTTTCACACCAGCTCAGTTACCTGCTGAAGGCATGGGCAGAGCAGGATAAAAGTAGGTGCGCGTTGCGATTTCTCTCCTGTTGCCAGAGCAGGCGTCAGCTTGGTGACGCAAGTACTTCCAAACTCATCACGATGATACAGTCTTATTTCCATGCCTTTCACTCGCTCCCTTTCAACCCAGCCCTCTCGGTCTTGTCGCAGCTGTCTTTCTCTCCCTTTTATCCCTTCTTGATGTGATTCTGAACAGCTCAGGCCCCGGTGACCTGCCACACCAGCTGTGATCGCTGTGATGGTGCTTCGGAGGACGCCCTTTGCTTTGGACATGTTGATCCATTGGCTCGAGCTGTTTGTTCCTTTTCCAAAGGCATCCTTTTCATGACGAGAGGCATGTGATGGTTTCGCCCTTGTGACGGCTGTGCATCAAGCCAGTCACACTCGCAGGAGGATTGTCTCAGCTGCAAGGCACGTCGCTTTTTGTGCCGTGGAAGCACAACAGGTTTATGTCGTCATGTCCACAGGCGTACACGCATTAAACTTAGATGAAGTGACAGCTGAAGAGAAGCCGCGTCCATCAACTGAGGCACGACAGAAAGTGCTTGGAACAATGTCCTGACGGCACCTTCGGGGACTCCGACTCCAAGGCTTGCACCCAATGCCAGCTGCCGAGAACGGAAGGGAAGGGTGCCAACAGAGACAGAAACATCTTTGGCTCGTTGGGTGCAAGGTGCCCAACTCTGCCACTTATGTGCTGAGGTCACGACTCCTGCGGCAGTTGTGAGGAACTCAGTTGAACACACACTGTACATCAACCCGAGCGCCTTCAAGCACTTTCAAGCGCGGCCAAGGTTCCGGCAGTGGAGCCGCTTGACTGCAAAGCGACTCTCACAGCGCAGGCGAAGAACGTCAAAGCCTTTGCAGCTGTTAAACCCGAAACCTTAAATCCCGAGTCCTTAAGCCGTGTCGGCATAGCTCTGCAGCCAAGGAAGCAGACTGCCAGAGCTGTGACAGCCAGGACAACTTCCTGCACAACGGCCGGTGCTTGACAGCTTGAATCTTGTCTGGGACAGCATCCATCAGAAACCATTGGGTGAGAGGGCCAGTGCTGGTTGCCTAAGCCCGCTTGCCATTGCGGCTCGCGTTTTTGTACGAAGCAGTTCCTGTTACTAACTGGTTGTGCGGTAGAGTACCTGATGTAAACCCATCCAACTTTCCAAAAAGCGATCAACAGGTAGTCCCGCTGTGGACCCACAGAAGGCGTATTTATGGCGCAGACAACGGCTCCGGGAGAACCCCACTTTCACACTGCTGTTTCTTGTCTTCCGGGTGTGTAGACCGTCGGCAAATCAGTCCTGCAAGGCGACCGCTAGCAAAGGTTCTCGAAACTTTGAGGCACCTGTGTTGGGAAGTTGGGTCAGCAATATGAAATTGCTGCTGTGTGAATCGGAAGAACATGGGGAAAGTGCCTGTGGTGGTGGAGGTGGTACGCAGCTTGCATCGTCACAGCAGTGTTGACAAGAGGACTGCTAGGTCAAAGAACAGGAACACTTTGTCCGCGGCGTCAGGGCTCTCGTTCTGCATTGCTCTGCCAGCCCAGGCCCTCCACAATTCTTCGCCGATGCAAAGAGAGTTTGTGTAAAGCTGGCCGGCAGCGTGCCTTCGCTTGCAAGCACCTTGATCAGTTGAGTTGCGCCAAGCGCCTTGTTGGCAGTGCCTGCAGCTCAAATCATACTGTATTGTACTTGCCGTGCATTTTCCTTCTTGGCAGATAACCACCCATTGAGTAGACTAAGGTTGTCGCCTTGAAGACGCACCTCAGCTGGACAAAGGTGAGTCATATACATGCATGAGCCGACAGACCTTCAATGCACTGTAAATCTTCTACGACTCGATTCCCATTCTGTTAACACATGTTACCCTGCAGGGCTCCTTCCTCAGGACCGGTAAGGCTGGAACATTCTTCGTGTACTCCAACAGTACGAACTGCGTCAAGTTGGTGCCTTTGGTGGATGCCTTAGCTTTCCAAACGACCACCAAAGTCACAGGAAACAGTGGCAAGGCAGGACCTGACAACCCTTCTGCGGCATAAGACCGGCTTCGTGTGGTTGCGACAAGGATGATAAGGAGAAGGAGAACCCAAAGAAAGTCAGCGATGAAGCGACACTCCCTTGCACTTCGAAATGAGTGTGTGTGTGTGTGTGTGCGTGTGTATGACACTTGATAAGCTGCGCTTTTTCCTCGAACGTGCACGCGCCTTCACAAACAGATTTGTTGCTGCTGTCTGCGGTGACGACAACGAGGAAAATGTGGATGATCTCGGATACGGGCAACGGGGAGACCTCCCTGCGTAATGTGCGCTGGCTGCAAGGGCCATGAAAGTGCTGCACATATCCAGCGAAGCCTCGACTGTAGCGATGGCACGAAAGGTCAGAACGGGTATGGCATTGCACATGTGCTCTCGGCTGCATGAATGATTTACCAATTTCGAGACTGCGCACAGCAAAGTGCAAGTCATCAAGTGGGCCGGCCAGCGTGAGTGGTGTAGGCAAGGCTAAGGAGGCATAACCGCCTGAAGCCAAGGCTTGCGAGGCCACGCTCACAGACGAAGGAGTCTGGCTGCTCCGAAACTCTGTCCAGCTGCGCAGTGGCACGGCCACCCACGCCAGCAGCTTTGCCAGCAGTCTGGGAGTTGCTCCAGTGTGCTCTGCCTCCCGTTCACACTGTACTTCGTTGAAGGTCCTTGGACAAGACGAGCTTTGGACGGACAATGAATGGGCAAGCAGCGACTACGTCCGCAAAGGTAGTGTGAGTACAATTTGGAGGATGGGAGCAATCAAAGTGATTTGAGTGTTTCGCAGCTGAGGTAAGTGTGAGAAAAGCGCATTCACGGTGACGCCAGCAGGCAGCTACAGGGCTGCTAAACCTTGACAGAGACATCAAAAACGCATGCACAACGAAGTCCGAGTGCTTCTTTGAGCTGGCAGCTCCGTGCCGGAGGTCCATCGACGATTGGCCTCAGCATCGGCAAACGTTGCTCACAAAATGGCGCAGAAGTAGTGGGTCTCTGTCAAGTGTCAGATGAAGCCCACACTTCGGCTTCAGTGTTCTTGTGCTTTCTTTCGGAGGGTGAAATCTCAGGCTACCTTCGCTTTCACAAAGAGGTGGTCATGATGTCGGAAGAGGTGGATGCAAGCCAGGCTCTCGGGGACGGCCTTCTAGAGCTTTCGGCTAGCAGCTGGCAGCCTGGCTCCTTGCAGACACCGGACGGGTGAGGGCTGCGAGCTCTAAAAGCTGAGGTGAGCCAAAGCTGGACAAGAGCATGCGCCGCGATCTCAGCGCAGCACCATCGCTCGTTGTCGACTCTTGAATCTGGTGGCTTGATTTCCTGAGCGAGTGAGGACGTCTCTATGCCCTCTGCCTCCACAATTTGGGAAGTGCCAAAGCGTTCCGCACCTGCGAGGCTTTGAGCCGGTGGTCGTGCTGCCCGCGGTGGCCTCTGAGTTGAGGACCCGAGGGCGGTGCGGGAAGCCTACGGGGTGCATGTGGGCACTCTCTCGCCGTATCTCGTCCCATTTACCAAGGCAAGCAGATGATCACCCAGTCCCTCCAGTGTTCCGCCGCTGCCGGCGGACAGGCGGCATAGACTGTGGCATGTGCTGATGATCAATATCTCCGATCCAAATTTACGATGATAGATGGGCTACATTGGGGAGCTTTGTGACGGCAGGCAATTGATGCTTTCGCTGACTTCACTGAGCAGAGTCAGCCACTCAGAACCATGGGCATGCGGCCTGCGGACACTGGGGAGAAGATGTGTTGGCATCTGATGAGCGCAGCGACAGCACAAGGGGGTGCTTCAAGAAACTCCAAACTCCAGAGGGCTAGGAAGAGCAGAAGCCTGGTGGAGTTCGGTGGTCCTATCACGGGAGCATGGGTGACAAAAGCTCAGAACGCAAGAGGACGGAGCGCGACATGTTGGAGAGCTCTTGCCAGTTAGCACACCTGCTTCGTCAGGATTTTCGATTTTTTCGGAGGGAGCAGCGGGGGCTTTCTAAAACATCTTCTCAAAAGGGTCCCCTGTCCTAGCTGCAACAGCAAGGACTAAGAGGCACCGCGAATCTGGCCGGCCATTCAGACTTCGCGGAACCCGCTGGAGTAACGGCAAAACGGTATTTGCAATCACACTGTCGATCATGCTGTACTGTAAGCTCGCCGCCGTTGAACACCTTCGTCCACAAGCCTCGTGAACCTTGCCGTCCCCAAGGCTACACAGCATCACCCTGCGGCTGCTTAAATCAGAGTTCTTTGAACAGTGAAAATAGTGAAACAGCACTCGAGTTAGTTTGTGAAGGCCCGGACACCAGCAAGCCGCCGTGAGCTCAGCTTTGTCGTCTGTCATCCATGGAGCACATCCACATCGTTTTTCTTTCGCATTGCTCACAGGACACGTCTGTACAGTGTCAGGCAAAGGTTGTAGAGGTATCGATCGAAATGAGTCTTCCTTACACCTTTGCGGACGGGATGTGTATACTGGTGCCACGCGAGGAGGCTACTTTCAGTCTCCTCGCTTTAGAGTCAGGCCTGGCTGCTACTACTACCAGCACGAGATTTCCGCACCGAAGGGGAGTGGCGCCGGAGTCCTCAGAACAAAGGTGCTGTAGGGCGATCCAGCCTGCTTCGGCCTTCAGCCGGCTTCTTTGTGGCACCTGAGGACCAGTACAGCGACTTGCCTACGAAGGTCCAGCCGACATGTCTCACAGAGGTGCTGGGTGATCCCCTGTGCACGACTTCGTCCAATCATCCATTTTTCTGGCCTGGCTCACTTTCCTCTCCTCGCAAAAACAATGAAAAGCCTTGCCACGGCAAGAAGGATCGGTCGTCGAAGCCCTCAAGTGGCTCAGCCCAAAGCACACACACTGAATGCCCCAGCCTCAACTTGGCAACCGGCAAACTGGGACCAGAAAACGAAAGTGCGAGTCGGCGTTGCGCTATGTAGGCTGCTACATATGCGCTGTGCATTGATGAAAGCATGGAAACTGCATCACCAAAAAAGTCCGTGTCAGCCAGAACGATCATGGCTTCCAAGTGGCAGGTGTCCAGACTCGCCCTGAACCTCCTGAGCTCCGACACTGAGGTCTGACCGCCTGCTCGTACATGCACGTATGATCTTGCGTGTTGCAGCTTCTCTGACTAGGCCAGGCATGGTGTCAGGAATCATGCGGAGGTGTTGGCATGCCTGTATGAGCTTTGTTCTGGACAATCAAACACAGGACCTGAGAGAGCTCGCCGAGAGACTGGCTGCCTTGTGCAAACCGGTTCGATACACTGTCCGGTAGCAGGCCGACTACTCTGCCTTTGCCGACTGCTCGTCAAAGATGCCATGCCTTTGCGGCTCGCCGCAGTCAGTGCAGTGGTGCGGCAACGTATCAAGCAACTTTGAAGCCTTCCGAGCTTGAGCAAAACATGGAGAAGACATGAGAAGAAATCAGAAAAGCTTTTATAGAGATTCTTCGTGGTCTCAAGCCCCTGCCGTCGCTGCTGGCAAGCACGTTGGGCTTTGTGGTTTCAAGGGTCGTCGGAAGCCCCGTTAGCAACAGGCAGTGTATGATAGCAATGATGAAAGACGGTGAGAATGCTGCACCTCCCTAATATTGCCATTGCCGCTGCTAAAGGTGTTGCTCTTCTATCTCTGCTAGTCGAATGACAACTACCGCTTTAGCCTTTAGCCTATCCCGGCACTCCTCGCCGGGTCAGCAGCAAAGGACATATAGTAGGGAGATATAAGGAGCACGACATGTGAAGGCGTATCCGAGTTCGGGCAGCTAAGGCAAGAAGCAGTGACCTCCTCTCGCATAGATTCGATGTGAGGCCGGCCGGCTCCGGCCTTGCTGGGACCTGCATTTTTTGGAGGTTAGACCGGTGAAGTCCATGCAAGGGCTAAGGGGTCATGCTCGTACTTGGTCCTACAACAGGTCCAGCCGTGTCGTGACCGGCGAAAATATCCAGGTCACGTGACCAGCATGCGGCGGACTGGTACTGCCAGCGTTGAACCGCGGCTTGGTCCATTCTGTCTCGCGGGGCAAAAAGGCAAGTCTTGCAAGCTGGGAGCAGCCGCTTGTAGGCTGCACGTCATGCTTTTGTTGACGTAAGGACCGTGAGCAGGCACACATTTGAGAGCGCTTTTGGACACTGCTCCAGGGAATGGTTCCAGGAAGGAAGTTCTGTAGGAGTCAGCACGGACGTTCAGGAGCCTGGGGTGTAGCCAAGCGAACACTTGGCGAAGGGATATACGCGCTCATTCAGAAGTCACCATGTGTTGTGCTTCCCACTGGCTCCATCAGAGCAGCCCCAAGCCAGCTCCGATGATAGTCGCATCTGGACAACGAAGCTTCCCGTGCAGGTTTCATGTGCCAGCATCAGCAGACACTGAAAGGCGCGTGAGCTGCAGCATCGAGCAAGATATTTAGCTCGTGCTTTCACACACCCTGGACCGTACATGTAAGTGCATGTGTGGTACTTCCGCTGCAGTTTTTCAGCTTTTTGCGCCGCTACCTCCAGGATAGCGCCGCAATCGGTGACATTCTCGGTCAGGCTTTTGAACATGGATTCTCAAGCGTGTGGCAAGGAAGAACTGAGTCGATCTCGGAACACCTGTACTGAGTAGGATGTTTGGCGCAGTGTTTCCGGTTGAATCAGTTGGAAGGGGCTGCATTGGACCTAAGGCGCGCATCAATAGATCCAGCCTGACGCAGAGTCGAGCAGTCCAGCACCAAGTTTCCTGTCTCTGTCTCGTTGGCTCTTTTTTGTTCGCTTTGCTTCCTTCCTTTGCGATTTAGCAGGTGCTGCCTAGCCGAGGATCGGCGCGTCGGAGTCCCAATCGTGATGCGGGTGTGACTAGAGCAAGTAGAGTGACGCCCGTGCTGCGAAGCACCGCAGGACCTGGTCCTAGACCCAATCAACCGCCGCCACCTACTTCTGCAAGCAAGAAGCTGAGATGCTGAGCTGCTTGAGGTGCTTTAGTGCCCTCTTTGTGGTCCAGTCCAGTCCAAGTCCAGTGTCTAAGCTCTCGGCTTTCTTGTCAATCAACACAGACCGACCAATGCTGTTGAGATAGAGGTGCAATGTTCGCCGATGCATGAAAACACGCATGCGCATCGGTTGTGAATATGATACTATGATGGTACTGAGCGCCACATGCTCCGCTAAAGTAAACGGGTGTAGGGCAAAACCGCATAGTTGCTCGCGGAGTACTAATGTTTAACAATTCTCGATGTCGTTGTCTTGATCTGAGTATAGTCGGGCCAACAAGGACGCAGTCCACGGAATGCCCCTGCGCCTGCCGCAGTCTCGGAGTGTAGGTAATTGAAGTAGTGGGGCCATCTCAAAGCCCGACGCCGAGGGCCAACCGTCTCGGGCGCTGCTTCACACCCAGTCGGCACGAGGCTGCTGAGCATAGCCATCACATCGACTCAGCATGAAACTGCCACTGTCGTTGCTCAGGGGTGGGTGCCTCTGCGATGCAGGCTCCAAGCCCCGTACTTGGTGTATTCCGGACAGAAAGGGTGAGATAAAGCCCCCACACTCTGGAGGCTTGACGTAGGGTAGCATGGCGCGCTCCTTTTGTGGGATGATGTGGTCAAAAGTATCAATGGTAGGTCGCTCCGAACCACCCTACAAGAAACAGGCATCCGATTACGTCGTTGACTTTGGTGCTGTTCTCTCAGGTTCCAACGGCACCATTCCAACCCGTCTCCGGCACTGGGCGTCGGTGTCCTCGATCCCGCAGCAGGTACAGCACTTGTCAGTTTCCTCTTTGCACCAAAATGAGCAAGTTCGAAGAAAGCACCGTCGATGTTCCATGCTCGTCAGGAAGCGCAAGCAAGTTTGCTTCAGGCCATGCAAGGGCAGCATGTCATTGCACACGGTCGTCACTGCTTAGCCTGGCGTCAGACAACCATTACGTCTAGCAGTTAGCACTGCATGTTGACATGCTGTGCAGCAATCCTCGTGGTGAAGGCTGCGCGATCGCGGGCTTCCCTTGTTCACCAGCCCGTTCCAGAAGGTCGCTCCAATACTTGATAGTCTGACAGGGATTTTGCGATGTCGGAAGGCTTGGCGGTAGCTCCTGCAGCAGGAAACTCAGGAAAGAGCCGAGGGCAGCGCTGATACCGAGAGCCTCCAGGGAGCCTACGCCTGACCTCATGAGGCTCAGCCTGCTCAGCCCCACATCCACGTCTCGGCGAATGCCCTGCGGACTCTGGAGCCAATGCTGCAGGCTCCCCCTCTCACGAGCCATGGGGCAGCTCGTTCAACATGACGAGCTGCCTTTCCAGGACGTTGCAGACTTTGGTGGCTGCCCCAGCGACGCAGGGGAGGGCAACTGGCAGGCAGGATTGCACGGCGCCTCAAAATCTTGACTTTTGCATGTGTTGAGAGCCGCGGTGCTTCTTTGGGACACTGCAGCTTCAGCGCATGTCTGGCGTTTGGAGCAACTTGAAGTCACTTCGAAAAACCGCTCGCAAGTTTCGCATCATGCCCCGGACCGGTCTTCTCACTTCGCAGCTCTTGTGCTTTCGGTTTTATGCCGAGCCAACCCGTGTGGCCTCCGAGAGCTGCTCCGGTATCGACCAGGCCAGGCAGGCCAGGCAGGGGGGTGCGGGTCTGCAGGGATCCACGCGGTCCATCGGCCACTCTGACGAAGGGTGCAAGGAGTTCGTACGAACGTGCCTCGGGAATGCCACCGCTTATCCTGGGGAGAAGGATTTTACATGCTTATGGTTGGCCCAGCCACTGTCTTGCATTCCTTGAACTTGCATTTCGGGTGGTACGTGCGCGGGCCCATCACCACATCGTCGCTGTCCATAGTGCTGCCATGGACTTCATCAGCCTTCTCCGGTGATGTCTCGGCACGGAACTGCCACACCCATCTGCGTGCTGGAAGAAAGGTAGACACAATCGGCTGTTCAGGTTTGCTGCGAGTTATGTTTTTTGCCGGGATGCGGTTTTGCAGTGCATGTTCGCTGGAAGTGTCCTGTCGGTGGCAGCCTGTGCTTCCAAGTTTCAGAGCGACACATGCATGTGACAGCTTCAGGTTCGGAAGATGGATCCTGCTCGATTTGTTTAGGCTCCGACCTCAATGACAGACGCACAACATTCCCGAGCGACGCAGGTTGGTAATTATCACTCTTTACAATCAGTCACGTGAGGGGGGGTGGCTTGTGTCATCGGGATCAATTTCGACCCTTTTGTCGTTCAGCCGGCTCAAGCCAACGCCGGGCACTCCAGGAGCCATGGCAGCTTGCCAGCACCAAGCCGAACGTTTCTCAATTCGTCCACCCTGCGCTTTTGTTTGGGTTCCATTGCTAGGATATTACATGCAGGCTGCATGAACTGGAGCCCAGGCGCGATTGATGTGGCCGCTGGCCGCAGCTTGATTAAATTGTCGTCGTCTTTTGTGGATTACTCGTATGGCACCCGATTCGACACCTTGACAGGAACTGACATGCATGCACTCCCTGAGATCGCTGAATCTGGGAATTGAGTCGAAGCGTTTCGTCCGCGGCAATCTGTAATCCTGTCTGAAGCTTTCGTAAGATGCCTGCGCGCAGCTACTTTATCTATCATTCGTGATATTGCCATCCTGACATACGACGACCCTGCTTTCTGCTCTGCTGCTACTGCTACTGCTACAGGGAATTACTACCAGTGCTGCTATGCAACTGCTGTGCTGCTACTACTAGCCAGTGCCACCTACTGCCTCTGCTGCTGCTGCTGCTGCCGCTGCTGCCGCTGGTGCCACTGCTACCGCCACCGACACCCCTACTGCTACAACTACTAACCAACTAACCGTTACTAACCACTGCCACATACTGTCACTGCTGCTTCTGCTGCTGCAACTACGACGACGACCGACTCGAACAACCAGAGCTTGCTTTCTGCGGCAATTGCCATCATTGTCGTTGTAGGTACTGGGTAATAAGTAGCGGCGCATCGACTGAAAAACTGGGATCATCATCGGATCACGCAGGTCCTGGCCACCCTGGCCTCCGGCGCTGCCTTCGTTGCAAGCGCCCCGCGTTCGCTTTCCGTGCCGCGGGTCCAAGGAGTTCAACACGCGCAAGGAGTGAAGGACCGGATCTGAGTAGTGGAGAGGCACTGACAATTACAACGAGAGCTGCAAAAGCCAGGACAACCGTGCCCCCACCGAGACACCCACAGCAGCAGGAGAAACAACAAGCACAAAAAGCTGGTGCCCACAAGAACTTCTTCCTGTAGCCTTTCTGTGGCTGTCCTCTTGCCAGAGAGAACCTGGCTTTGCAAAGCAGGCTGCGCATGTGCAAGGGCCAGCCTTCCAGGCAGGAGGGGTCGGTCTGGTGAGCGGCAAAGTGCCTGCATGGGCAGTCCTAGTCTCGTGGACATATCATGTGTGTATAGTCATTTGGGTCAGAAGCTGCTGGTTGTGGACGACGGGTAGTTGCGGTCTGCTAGCTCGCTTTGTCTCCGCAGCACTGAGCCGAATCTTGCTGTCTCTGATTCAGACTGCGAGCTCGCCTTTTGTGGGCCTGGGAGTGACTGCTGCCGTGGCCGCCGTTGCTGTGGGCGCCGCAACTCTCCGACGTTCCCTCGTCGCACGGCAGCTTCGTCTCGCAGGGCAGGACCGCTGCCGAAATTGCAATTCAATCCCAGCGATAGCGAAGCAGACTGAGAAGCAGTATCGCACGCGATGTGCATACGGGTTTGATCTTCAGGACATTCCCCGCAGCCTGGCTACAAGGTTCTCGGGAGAGGGTGCGCTGCTGCGGCCTTCGGAAAGTATGAGAAGACAAGCTCTTCTAACATACCGGCAACGTTGTGGGATGCTTGTAAGAAGTTCTCTCAACATGCTGTCAGTGTGGTGTTGATCCGGCACCCAAGCCGAGGCAACAAGCAGCTGGCTTATGGGTTGATTTGCAGCATTTTCGGCCTGGGCAAAACCACAGCACCCAAGCCGCAAGCAAGAAGACGAACTGCTGCGACAGTGCTTGTAGGCACTCGTTGGTTGGACGTCGTCGCATCTTCCGCACTTGCTGCCCATCTGTGTTTGCGATGCTCCGAGGCCTTCAAAGTTTGCATTGACTGCGACATCAACCCGTACAAGCCTCCTGTCTTAGATTGCTGTGCACTGCAATGCCACAAGGCCGTGAAGCTGAGCGCAGGAGCTCCGGCGGATTCGCAGACGCAGCAGTTGCCTTCATGTGCCCCTCAGGATCGTATCCCAGCTGTCTGAAGACGAGGACCCGTAAGCAAGCTCTTGTTCATGCTTGCGAAAGTGGTACCTATTGCCAAGAAGTCGCATGAAGCAAGTTCTCTTGCGAAAGATCGTGGGGAGCACAATTTCGATCGAATTGGAGAGAAAGGAAATATAAAATGTCCGCACTGGTGTGACCAGGAGTTTCGTTTGGCTGAAGAGATTGGAAACTATGTGCTAGAGAACCCGCTGCGGCGCATGTACAAGGCCAGAGAAATCTTCATAGCCAGTCCAATGCACAGGGATTGCTGTGGCATCAAGTGTCGTAAGCTGTGAAACAAACTCCATCAGCTGTCTCCAGGCCAACTGCAAGGCTTTACTGGCCATCAAACACAGGCATGGGAGTGCTTTGCAAGACACGATTGTCAGAGAATCCCATTCTGCGGCTCGATGCGGAGCTTGTCTGTCGGCGCAGTGGCATCAGAGTGGAGTAGAAATGACTTGCAGTGCATTCTGGAAGTGCGTCACGTGTGAGGCGAGGTGTTCGCATGCAGAAGGGTTTGCCCGTGCACTTCCAGAGAAGTAAGACGAACAACCGCACCTCGGAGAGATGAGAACAGTGCAAGGAGGGCTTCACAGAAGCAAGGCCTTGGTCATGGTCTGGGGAAGTCGGTATCTCTGAAGCGTAGGAGGAAGCATGGCGTAGCACGTGCACATCTGGCATGTTGTGGCCAAGGCAATGCTCGCAAGCTGAACCCCAGCCGATTCTGAGCGTCCACCTTTGAGCTTGTGGAAGTGTCATGCTTTAGTGCACCCGAAAGAAAAGACCTTGGTCCCTGGACGCCTACGCAGACAAGTAGAGGTAAGCTCGATCAGTCACAATTTCATGGTTGCCTCCTTCCTTTCAGCTCTGGCACCTGCGAGCTCCCAGAAAAGGACAAAAAAGGCAGGAGCCGAAGTGTCCATGGCTGACCTGGCTCAGAAATGGCTGTTAAATCCGGCGAAGGATCCGACAGTGCTACAAGTAAGGAGCTGCTTGCATGTGGAGAGAGGTGAGGATGCTTTGCTGCGCGGCTACAACCCATTGAAGACATTCGATCAGCCATGCTGGGCTCAGGTGCCGACGCCAGCGAAGTAACCGAACTTCGCTGTGGCAACCGGCATCGGTCCAAGATCCAAGAGAGGATAAGACGGACCTGGATTTGTCAAAGCCAACCACAGATGCAAGTTTGCCAACCTCAGATAGCCTCAGATGCAAGTTGCGTGGCCAAGGGATGATCAGGGTGCTCGCAGTATTTGGCTCTACCTTCTCAATAACCCTTCATGTTTTGCAGCCCTTTTTCGTCGATTTCCGAGACGCCCGAGGCTTGGAGACCTCCCCGTCACACAATCGAATCTGTTCAGGCTGAGCTTCGGCCCATGCGCGCAGAACAGGGTTTTTCTTGTCGCAAGGAAGCACTGCCGAGCTTGGGCAATCGGCATAGCTACATTTCACGCTTCTTGTGCAGCTGTGTTTCACCTGGAGTCCGAGGCCATGTCGCTCGGATACAGCGGCGACTCGCCCCCGCCCTCGCCATCGCGGCGGGAGGTTCGCAGTGGCATGTTCTCCGTGCTGTGACGCTGTCCGACGTTGCGGAAGCCGCAGGCGGCTGCGGCCAAAAAGCACAAGGGTGGCGTGGAGCGTCTCATGCTCTCAGCTCCAGCCCCACATGGCCGGGCCACGTGAGCGAAACGAAATTTCGAGAATGTCCCGAGGTCCGAGCGAAGATTGGAGATGCCTTGGACATCGATGGCCTGCCAAAGGCCGGCAACGACGAGTTTGCCTTCGAAACCGGAGTTTTCCACGCTATTTGCAGGAAGCTGCGCAGCTCCTGGCCGAGGCCGAGGCACTTCTACGGAAAGGCCGGGTGGGGGATGCCGGGGCCTGTAGGGAAATGACGCGTCAAGAGGATCTCAAAGATGTTGATGGAATGTTGATGGTACTCGTAAGTAAGAACGTTGGGGTCAAACCACCAGCCATCTTCTGTCCCACGCACTCAGCTTTGCATCTTGTGTTGAAGGCGATGTCTCCAGTCCAGCGCACGTAAGCCATTTAAGCTGCATGCGTCCTCGTTCGAGGCGAGCAAGAGCTCGCAAAGCCGCGCTTGGAGCGCATAGTTGCCGGCATCGATGCCGAGGATGCTCGCAGCTGTGGAGCTTGTCCGCTTGTCCGTTGTGCCGCAACGAGAGGATATGTTTCATGGCGCAGATGAACACGCAAGGCGTTGAAAGTGGACGCGCAGCTTGCATCAGGGCTCATGACTCATCCTGCCTGCGGTCAAGATCGTGTCAGGCGGTCTCTGCTGCACACATACACAGATCTAGACCCAGAAGCAGCTGCGGGACACCAGGTCCCTCCCTCTTTTTGATGGAGACTATGTGCCTTGAGATGCAAAGCAAGTCACACGCTTCTCTCCGTCTCGCCGCGCCAGGCCACATCGCCTAGTCGACGAGCTTTTCGCCTGCACGAAGTCGCTCTCCAGACCAGTGACGGATTCGACTTGACCATATGCAATCTTGGCATGCTAGCAGGCAGCGGACATGATCACCTCTCCAAAAGCAAGTGCAAAACAGGCCTTCGCCAGACTTCGCAATCTTCGCAAGCTGAAAATTCATGAAAATGAAATCTCGTGTGCGACGCGAGAGTGGGCTTTTCGTGCCATGCGACAGGCGCTGCATGCTGAAGCAGTCGCCAAGCTCCTAGAGAAGGCCGTCAGTCGATGCGTTGCGCATCAACAGTAGGCCTTGCCCCCTCCCAAGCATGATGCTGCATGGCTTCCAAATCAAGTTGCCTCTGTCAGGCGGGGCACTTTGACTTCGATGCGATTGCCTTTGCCGCGCTGCCCGAGGCAAGGAACGTGCTTTCAGAATCAGAGCACATGCAGCCATCTGCAGTGGCTAGCATTTCTGGGGCTGGCCTTCTAGATGATCCGTGTAGCAAGTTCATCAAAGAAGCTACATCTTGACAGACTCGGCATGCTGCTGAGACGAGCAGCTTGAGGTTGAAGGCAAGCCCCTCACCACCTTGGGCACGTACTTGCTGTCGTCCTGCGGGTACATATCGGGACTGGAGGACTGCCCACTCTGGGCGACACACTGCTAAAGTCCCTGCCTCGAGCCATGCTTTCAGATCGGTTCAGGCGAAGATGAGCACTGTTTGCATCATGATTCAGAGGACAGGTGATTCAAGGGCTCTTCGGCATCATAGGCTCCAAGCAGGTCACCCGAAACCCTGCGCATCGGGATGCGCGAGACCATAAACTTAACTATTCTCGTGGGCGTCACATCCCATTGGGCAAGCAAAAAGCGAGGAAAAAGAAGAGGAGGAGCGGTGGTAGACTCTGCGATTAGCCCGCAAACGTGAAAGGACAATGGATGGCTAGATTGTCCTCGAGGCGCTACCTTCGAGGGCCGCGCCTCTTGACTTGAAAGCAGGCTTTTATATGTAGCCAACTACGATGTGTAACCAGCACAACCTATTTCTACATACCTGTTGTATACTCGTGGAACACTTGTTGGTGCATCTTGTGCTGTATGTAGGCAAGCATGTAGTTTAAGACTGTATGTATGCGAGTAGGTCTGTCTGTCTGTATGTATGTATGTATGTATGTATGTATGTATGTATGTATGTATGTATATATGTATGTATGTATGTATGTATGTATGTATGTATGTATGTATTGTAGTATGCATGCATACGTATAAGGAATGATGTCCGGCCGTCCAATGTCCGGCTTATGATGAATATCCCGAGGTGGCCCGGTTTCTGCGCGAGATTGACAGAAGATACTTGTCGAAGGCAGGCGAGGGTTTCCGCCGGATGCCGACAGAATCAAGGCAGTTGCCAGTTGCAGAGCCAGTCGCTAGCCGCTAGCTCCTGCGTTGTCATTGCAAGTTTCAAGTGCAGTGTCCGAGGCCTGACATGCTTCGTTTGCGTCTGGCTCAGGCACACCGGCCGGCAGTAACTCTCGAGCCACTAGCTTCGCTATGGCTGCCGTGCAAG